CAGGCAGACCACACATCTTCACCAGATGTCCATCCCAGCCCCCTCCCTGGCCCTGCTCCTCAAACCTCGAGGGGGTGGGTTGGTTTGGTTTGGGGTGGGTTGGTTTGGTTTCTCAGTCACAGATCTATTCTGCAGACAGCCCTTATCTGGGGCTTTGGGGCTGTCACACAGCAGGGGGGAGGATTCAGGGTGAAGCCACTCACGAATCTCTTGGCCTGGAAGGGCCCGATGCTGTTGAAGATCATGTCCAGGCAGCGTGGGAGGAGCCCTCCATCCCCAGGAGATCCCGTCATGGTGTGGGTCTTCCCACTGCCTGTCACTCCATAGGTGAAGAGGAGACCTGGGAAAGGTGTGGAATCAAATGGATTTGGGGAAAAAAACCCAATGGTTCTCTTTGGAGAGTCAGGGATTCCAGCCCCCCAGCAGTGTTTGCAGCTCTCCCTGATCAGCACAGCTGGAATTATCCACTGTCCTCTCTGGGACAGGGCACTTGGAAGCCAAAAATGGGGCATTACTGAGGAGTCTGACACACAGCAGGCACTGTGGTATCTCTGTGAGGGTGGGCAGGCCCTGGCACAGGTTGCCCAGAGAAGCTGTGGCTGCCCCTGGATCCCTGGAAGTGTCCAAGGCCAGGTTGGATGGGGCTTGGAGCCACCTGGGCTGGTGGGAGGTGTCCCTGCCCATGGCAGGGGGTGGCACTGGATGGGCTTTGAGGTCCCTTCCAACCCAAACCATTCCAGGATTCTGTGCCCACACCAAGCCCAGGAGATCAAACCCCACAAACTGATTTCTGCAGTCACTCCTTGGGTGGACAATCCATCCCTTCCCACAGAGAAAAAAAGCTTCTCCTGTTCATCTTGCACTAAAATCTTAGACCTTGACACACCTAACATGCAAATCATCACAAAAATAAATAGGTTTAGACATGAGAGCTTCCAAGGATGTTGTGTGAGGAGCTGAGCCACAATTCCAAAGCAGACAAGATGTACCTTTTTACCTTGAGAAGACAAGAAACCTCGAGAGCCACGAAATCATGGCCAGGAGGGTGGCAGAGGAGTGGCACAGGCCAGGAGTTGCTCACCATTTTTGCCCCGGATCAGATCTTCCACCAGAGGTTTGGCCACCACGTCAAAGAGCTCCTTCTGAACCCCAAGGGTGCCAAACACTTCCTTAAAGGAATACTGGGTCTGCCAAGAGAGGAGACACGGCCTGAACCTTCAGCTTCCGTGGCCAGGAGTCCATTGCTTCCCAACATCCAGGGGTTACACCTTAGGACATCCCCACAGCTCAGCAGAACGATTAAACTCGGCTTTAGGACTAAGCCAGGGTTTGAACATGGGTCGCTCATTTTTCCATCAAAACACTTTCTCAGGTAAATATCTGAATTTTAAGTTTCTGAGCAAAGGTTTATCAAACTTTTAATTAACCTTTGCCTCCTTCATTTAAGCCTTAAGAGATCACTTTATACCTTTCTTATAAGAACTTGCCAGGCTACTCTACATCCCACCCAACATTCCTGCCCAGAGAAGCTGTGTATTCTCCATCCCTGGAAGTGTCCAAGGCCAGGTTGGATGGGATTTGGAACAACCTGGGCTAGTGGAAGGTGTCCCTGCCCATGGCAGGGGGTGGCACTGGCTGAGCTTTAAGATCCCTTCCCACCCAAACCATTCCAGAATGCCACAAAAATTCTATTATTTTTTCTTTTCTTAAAAACTCCATGGCTTTGTCTCATTTGGTATTCCAGCACTGTTTTGGGATACTCCAGTTAATCCTTTCACTACCACAACACCTTCAGTCCTACAGTGCTCTGGCTCCTCATTCTGTACCATCTGTACAGAGCACAGACTATATATAAGTATATATAATATCTATTATATGCTTATAAATATAATTGTGTGTGGTTGAGTTTAGAGCTGCTTTCTTTCAATTAGTCCTGCATGAAAAAAAAATCCTTTAAGCAACACAAACATTCCTCAGGTTGGCTTTAGTTCCTTGCACCCTGTAGAAGCCTCTTCCTCTGTGGAGAATATATTTTATGGCTAAGGAAGTGGTGCAGTTTTGCTCTGGATGGGTTTGAAAAAGGGGGAAAAAAAAAATTCCGATTTTGCCCTCTGCAAGAGCCCCACAAGCCAGGGGGAAATCCTGGGTGGGACACCTTCCACTGTGGCAGGTTGCTCCCAGCCCAGCCCGGCCTTGGACACTCGCAGGGGTGGGGCCGGCAGTTTGTCCGGGCACATTCCCGGCTGGAATGCGGTCCCCCCGCGTGGTTACCTCTCGGTACTCGCCGTTGCGGAACACCCGGTACCCCTCGGGCGGGTGGATCTGCACCGTGGTCTCGT